GAGTACTTTATTTTTCTGAAATACTAGTGACACCACGCGGACAATTCGTGAACAAAAATTTTACCTCGGCTGTTAATTTATCGTCAGCAAGAAAGATAAATTTTAATTCAACAAAATTAAAAACAAAAGTGTAAAAATACAATTATTGCAAAGAAAAGAGGACGCCGAGAATTCGGCGGAGGTGGTGGAGGGTTAATTGGTCTGTTCGTTCACATAACGAAAACTCAATAATTCTGTTTTTATCGACATTTCATGCGCATAGCACGGAACACAACCAAAACGTGCACATCTGCGTTATCCGCTTAGCCCAAACGTGGGCTACGTAGTTTAAGTCCACGTTTTCAATGTCCACAGAGGGCGCAGCGCGTTCGAGGATCACGTAAAACTGGGTCGCGACAGCTCTCAGGCTTCTCTCTGGTACGGCCCACGTTTTTTTTCAAAAAGCCGAAAACTTTACGAAAAATATATATAATATGACATTAAGTTTGGATAGTACACTTAACAAGTACATTTTGCAGTTTATTCTATAACAAGCTGTCTCAATACTGCACAGAGTGCGAGTAATATTGAAGTCTTTTGTATGATAGAAGATAACCAAGCAACCTATCCCGGCGTTTGTTTCGCAAATATTGTGAGATATGAATCTCCTCCCGAAAACGCACGAGGAATTCAGTCACGCGGAATACTGGAACACGTTCTTCAAAAAGCGTGGCAAGAAAGCGTTCGAATGGTAAAAATTCTATAGCTAACAATATTCTTCTGTAACTTGCTGTGTTCACCAGCGTTCACTGCACTCTGTCTGACTTCAGGTACGGCGAATATCCAGAGTTATGTGAAATACTCGTGAAATACGTCAAAATGAAGGACGATATTCTGATCGTTGGTTGCGGAAATTCTACATTAAGCATGTCCTTGTACGACGTTGGTTACAGGTACAGCTTCGAGCCTGAGCGGAATGGCTGTCTTGTACTGTTAAGGCAAATGTTTTATGCTTTAAATATTTGTCGTAAAGTAACGCACAATAATTGTCTTGTGACTTAAGAATACAGGACAGTCATTCTGCTTAGGTTTTCCGTGTGTACATCTTGCAACGTGCAATTGTAATACCTTGCTAAGTTTTAACGTTATACAGTCCTGAATAAATCTCAAAGTTCTGAATATCATTAATATTGACTTACAGGAATATCATTAATATTGACATATCACACATCGTCATAAAGCAAATGCGCGACATAAATAATGGTACAAGACCGGATCTGGTGTACGAACATATGGATGCGACGCAAATGGCGTATCCTGACGAGAAATTTAGTGTAGTTCTAGACAAGGGTACACTGGACGCTCTAATGCCAGATACCAAAGAGACCACGATATCTACAATTGATAGATATTTCAAGGTGAGTCTCCGATTACTAGAAAAATTGCTGTGAAAAATTTCTGTTCCGATAAACTAAAATTTATTGTAGGAAGTCGCACGAGTGTTGCGGAATGGTGGCAGGTACATTTGCATATCGTTGCTACAGGAGCACATTCTGCGTAAGCTTTTGTCATACTTTCCCGCCTCGGGTTTCATGTTCCGCATAGCGCGATGCCACGAGGCTGAGTCGAGAGCGCGTGTGGAGGAAGGCAGTTCAATTCCGGTTTTTGTGATCATTGCCACAAAATTTACCAAATTATCTCAAACCGTATGTTGCAACAAAAGAATCGTTAGAATCGTTACAATGGCTACGTTCAGCAGAAAAAGCTGCTTTGTAACTGTTGTAGAATTCGTGAGTCTGATTGGCGTATGCTCTGAAATTCACTCAAGATTAAGAGAATACGCCAATCGGATGTACGAATTTTATAACAATTGCAGAGCAGCTTTTTCTGCTGAACGCAGCCAATGTCTTGTTAGTCGAGTGAGGAAGTTTGTCGAACTTATTTTTGTAGATTGTAATCCCGGTAGGTTCTCGAGATAGCTCTGGTCGATGGCCCACCTGAGCGATTGTCCACAACGGACGACGTGGTGTCCGCAATATTGTCCGCACAACAATCGGCGCTGGTGTGCAACAGCCTTTATAAGAGAAGCGTCGCCGATGTGGGAGAAGTATCGTTGGACTTGCATCGTCCAGGTGACAAGCATCCGCGATACACCGTTTATGTTCTCGACCAACCACGCACGCGTGGAGCGAAGACTTACGCGGCTTTCATTGTCCCGCAAGGAAAGTACGTTCGATTAATTCGTTGAATACAAACTTGATATCGCGTTTGCTACATTTACACAATTACAAGACTAAACGCTTCATTCTTTCTCGGTTTAACAGAGAAACGGATTGGTTGTTCAGTACGAAAGAAGGACGACAGCAGGTTCTGAAGAGCGCGCAGCGAGATAGACTCGCCATTGTCACTTTACGTAGAGAACACAAATATGAAAGTTGGGATGCCGTGAAAACCGAGTTAGAAGATTGCGTTCGTAATTTAGCACCGGCTGGTTTGTGCGGCAAGAATGATATTCCTTTTCTGTCTTTGGGTTCTGATGTTGGTGTGCGAAACGTTTGCTACGAAGGAAAGAGCGATATCAGTGGACCGTTTATTATCGAACAAGTGGAGAAGGATGGCCACGAGTTTAGGCGACTTGTGTTCTTGAACAATCCATATGTCATTCAGAGTGAAGCCAGGCTGAAGGAAGGTGCTAACTTGTAATAAGTTCAAAATTTCTGTAATAATAACACAATATCTGTATAATTATTATGATAATTATTTATAGCAAAATCTAGACGTGGTAAAACGAAGAAGGTTGTCGATCCCGGATTTTTAGCTTGTGAACATCACATACATATGAGCGCTGGCGTGAATGCCGCAATCGATACGAGAGAACAGGACGAAATTATGATTATAGGACTCGGAGGTGGTGGTCTGTGCATGTTCTTACATCAGTGTTTTCCCAAAGTACATATCTTTAGATAGTATTCATATTATTGCGTCGTCGAACATTACATACCTAAATTTCTTTTTCTAATATAAATCGAAATTTTTCATTTTTTTTTTAGCTAAAAATTACTGCAGTCGAAATTGACAATGCGATGCTAAAAGTGGCTACCGAATACTTCAATCTCATTCTTGATGAGCGAATGAAAGTGGAGATTGCGGATGGAATTCAATATATTAAAGACGTTGCAGCATCCGAGACTAAGTACAAGGCGATACTTTTCGATATCGATAGCAAAGATACTACTGTTGGAATGAGTTGCCCGCCTAAACAGTTTCTCGAAATGCCAGTGCTGAAAGCAGTTGCGACGTGCTTAACTAAGAACGGTTTGTTTATTTTAAATTTAGTCAGTAGAGATAAAAATTTGAAAGAGAAAGCCAAGGACGATCTGAAATCGGTATTCCAATCAATCACTTGTCATACCATTCAGGATGAAATAAATGAAATCGTACTGTGTTCCATCGAAAAACTCAATCCAAAAGAGTGGAAAAACAGACTTAAACTCGCCGTTGTCGACTTGAACAAGCAAGCGACTGCGAGAAAATTATCCTCCTTCAAGGAATCATGTGATGTCTCCACACTTTTGGAAAGTTTATCTTTGGAAACGTAATCGCTCTGTACAAATTATCATGTCAAATAAAAAATGAAAATAAAATATCTAGTGGTTTAACATATATCTTTCAAAATATCTCCTATCAATTTATCTATGGAAATATTTTTTTATAATATTAATAAAAATGTGCATTTGCATAAAAATTCGCAATGTCTAATAATATATGTATATGACGAATCTTTTGGCAACTTTATTCCTTCATTAATTATATGCAACGTGCATTACTTTCGTATTTACAGAAGTACAGTTTAATTACAAGCAATTGGAATTCAGGCGTATGAGTTAACAGTTTTTACGATAATTGACTAAACATTCAACAATAGGCGCAAACAATCATATATATATGTATTCTCCTTCACCGCACATATAGAACTTTTGTCTTTTCACACATATTCTAATGTACAATACAATAAATCATTCAAACATTCATGTCAATATACTATAAATTTATATCAAAGTACAGGAACGTATCAATAGCAAATAAATAATTACAAGTTTATAAATAAATAATTATCATAAATTGTCATTCCATATTCCATTATACACATTGACATGTATAGAAGATGATTCATTTATAGCATATAATTGAATGATTCATATATGAATCTCTAACATAAAATTCATTTACATTTTTTTCGCACATTTATTGTGTTTAATAAATTAATATAAAGTGTAAACATGGAAAATGTTGGTCCGGCTAAATAAATATTCGTTATTTAATATCATGATTTTCATATGACTGCTCCCATAAATAATCATTGAAATTAAGATTTAAAGCATTCTCTCTTTTCAAAGACAGAACTTAAAAGTTTAAAACTTGTATATTTTTTTACTTGTCATACATATATTTACATGTACATAAATATAATTGTGTATGGGATTTATAAATGGGAACAGTCTGTATAGAAGTGGTTTTCTATGAAATTTAAGAAATAGAAACAATCCGTAGAGAATAATACTACCCGCATCGCGATATCAGGATTTTACTTGCTCTACGACATATTTACATTTCTTGTACACGTCTATTTAAAAATCCCCATTCAAATGTGGCCTTAAATTTCTAATCATTCACACATTTGTAAAAATTAAAACGTCGTATTTACATGCTACGAATTTTCTTTTTTAAGAAAATTAATATTTTGTAATAAATGATAGACGTTTGCTGTTGTAGACTAGTATAAGATAACCGCACGAAAATAATTGCTCGAGTTCCGTAGTCCTTTTAAGAAACGTTACTAACGAATGATTAGCAACGTAATAGGTAATGTATTATAATCCTTGTCACACAAAAATGATACGAACAGAGGATGTATTCATTATATAATCCTACTAACTGTAAATAAACGATATGTAATGTTCTCTTACGTCGTGAGTTTAAATATTACTTTTAATTAATCTATGTTTTTTTTCAACAAATATGAAATAATACTAATTCGATTAAACATCTTTATATATTCTTGTAATAATGCACAGAAATATGTTTAAAAAAACCTCAGAAATTGCTTAAATCAATATACTCTACAATTCAGAACACGCATTTTTTTTTACATTTTATACTTCGTACTGTACAATTTCAATTGTTGCTGAACTAAACTTTTTCATAGGTCTATACAAATTTTAAGTAACATACACGGTCGCATTTTGCTATAAATAATTACGGGTAATAAATATAAAATAACATAATACTAATATTATGCTGTAATAATCGCAGGTCATTTTTTCCTTGCTTGCGCAATTATCTGCTGTCTGTCGATGGCGCGTACTCTCTCTTTTATATTAAATTAGAAAGAATAATACATATCACATTAGTCAAAGTAACGTGTTCTGGGAACGAGATCTGTATTTTCCTTTAATTGTAATCTCGTCCCATAAAAAATCATATTTGCTATGACAGTGATGATCTCATTCAGTAACGGAAACTACAATATAAAATTACTAAAGTGTTTCGTCGTATCGCACATAAATAATCATCGGATTGACGTTATATGCGAATAAACACACACATAAAACTTACTTCTAGAAAATATATTCACTAAAATCTCACGCGAAAAAAGTCTCGACCACTGTCCACGTACGCTTCAGAAAATTATTTATATAGTCTTTAAATGCACGTTAAGTAATAGGATATTTTCGATTAAAGTTTAAGTCATTCTGAATTCACTTACACCTCCTTGCCACTGTTTCGCTATTTATTCTGCCTCTTTTTTCCCCTTTCTCTTTTCTTCGCATTTAATTTGCGATCGCATCTCGCAATTCTCAGGAGGATTTTATCACAGCACATTTCTTTATCAGATACAAAATATGCTGGCACAATTGTTGTTAATCTCCGGAATACTTTTACAACGCTCTCGCGCGTATGTAAAATTAGTATAACAAAGAAACGTCTGCATATACAATTTACATTTAGTGCTAAACATAGGCTATTTATTGTGTAATCAAATAACAGTCGTTTATATACGATGTATATCGAAAATTATACGGCTGCATTTAGCAAATTAAATTCACAATGTAAATGGAAATCTTGTCTTGGAAAAGGAAAATGATGAAGAATGATACTGAAATCATTATGTATAACTACAGAAAATTTTGCATTTCCACGGAATAAATATATTACTTAACATATTATTGTTGGAAGACGAGAACGGCAGATTATTAGAGAAAACAAATTGAATAACATTTCGAAAAAGATGGAGTAAATAGTTAACTCCTAAAAGTTTTATATATTAAGATTTTCAACTTTCTTATTCGTATAAATAAGATTTGCAAAATTTTCAACAACAAAAACAATCAAAAATTTGGATGCAAGAAAGAGTCTTATTTACAATTTTTACTTATAGGAAAAGAAGAGAAACAAGAAATAAAAGAAACTACAATAGTGTAATATTTTCTCGAGTATATCACTTCATTTAATGAAGCAATAAATAATGAAAACCGCCACAATTTTTTGGTTGCAGCTATCTTTCTCGTAATTATAGTTTTTTTTTAATTGTTGTAAGAACTATTGTTAGCAAATATGAAATGACCAGTATGAAATACGACTGTTTCTCGTATAGCTAAACTAGACAATACAAATACAAAATTCATTTATAGGAAAAGCAAAGCTTTTATATAATCTTGCAGCCAAATAAAACTGAATTTTTCTTCGAAACTTTACATTTATTTAAAGTTCGAAAAGCCACTCGAACGGATATCGAATATTTACATAAAACCGAAAGTAGTGGAAATATGTGAATATAGAGATTAAGTATACATATATATATAAAGTACCAAGCCAACTTCACGAATCTGAAACCGGAGAGTAAAAGTAATTTCATTCTCAAAACAATTCTTGTATACAAAAAGATTGGATTATTCGTTTTCCATATCAAATTTTTCGATCAATTGCTTTGGTGCATTCAATAGCAACAAAATTGAATTGAGTTATCTCAATTGCATGTTTCTCTTACCGTTATATCATGATTGTATCGTAATATCATATTTACATTACATTTTATATTGATAAAAGAAAACAGTAAACTACTAATCATCGGTGGAATTGAGAGATTTAATTTTGTTCTCACGTTTTTGATACCATTTCATACATTCATACATTGACAGGGAAAATTAATTTTTTTGATTATACGATAATAAATGTTAGCTACAACAGCTACTGTTACTGTTCTAAGATTTTGTTGGCAACATTTAACTCGCTCATTCACTTTCACTCTTTCTTTTTTCTCTTTGGCGATGATTCATAGATAAAAATTAAATAATCCAATCTAAGATAGAAATGTTCTCTAGACCACTGTAGTCACTGCCGTTGTGTCGATTAAGATGAATCATAATATCCTACGTAAACTAATCTAGCTTGGTAAGTCATTTTATTCACCTTTTCCAATTTTCCGCAACGGTGGGATCGCATTCAATCTCTCGTATACCTTATAATAAATTTTTACGTATTTTGCTGCATTCGCCATTAACACGTACGCGAAACTCGTTACGTACGATATTAATATCACTAGTAAGTAAAGCGTAGTTCTAATAACTGGGCGTTGTTGCAAGGTGGGAGAAGTTTCTCAAAAGGCGACCATGCAAAAAAAATTTCCCGATTTCGATCCATTTCAAAATGTTATATAAATTATCTAAAATTTCCTTCTCTAAAGTATAATGTGTCCTTCAAATTAGATATGTATGTGTGTGCAGTCTTCAATGAGAAAATTATTAAACTTTACTCAGTTTAAATAATTAATAACCGTTTACTCTAATCCATACAGAGACTAGTAACTGTGAAATAAAGTTCGTGCTGAGACGAAAGTATTTGTATACCGTAACTATGCCAAGTTTTCTTTAACTTCATTTGGCCACTCTTCATTTTCTATCAAATGCTTGCATATATTCATACACCCGGTTGAAGAGGGTTCGTGAGATTTTTCGGCTCAATCAAGTCTCATATTTTCATGATAGTTTCCTGGTCAAATCAATTACTTCAATTTATCGTGCGATAACAAAGTCTGTGTTTTTATAGTAATTGAATTAATTGATGCAAATGGAAAAATGAAGAAACTAGGACGAAAGTATAGAACAAGGTCGAACTAAGTGTCTCACGAACATGTAATATTTATATGGCGAACGATTCGACGCAAAAATTAATGCTCCAGCTCAGTTTACTATTTGCGACGGGTCTATTTCAATCAGAAAAACTTTCTCACCATTTTCTTCAAACCAGTACCTTTCTTCTCTTTCTTGATCGACGTGGGAGTAGCATTACTACTTCTCGACTCGTCGCTCTCCTCGATCAAGCCATTTGCAGCACTACCATTGGCACGATCACTGACAATCTGTGATAACGTCTTGAAGTCCGTAGAGCTAGACTGGGAGGATCTGTCATTCGAGTGTTCCGAATCTTGGCTCCAGTCCCATTTATCGGCGGAACTCGTGGACAGCTTCCTTTTGCTTCTTGTACCTAGGGCAGTTTTCATGAAGGACGGCGAGCTCAGTCTCGCGCTTTTGAGAATACTGCTGGCCCTGAACGAGCCGTTCTTTGACGGTTCTGTCTTCCATTCAACAGTGTTCAAACACGAACTTGATCTTTCGATGGGCTTGTCTACGATCACCAACGATGTGTTAGGCTTGCCGAGCTCGTCGACTTGACGACCGAGTTCAGAGCTTGCTCCAAATTTTGTTTCGTAGATTTTATTTTCCGGCGCAGGCTGCACAATTCGTTCTAGTCTTTCTATACGATCATCGAACCAACTGACGGCGGCCTCGGGCGCAGATTCCGGCCTCCTGCCGGCCACATCCTGCGACTCTTTGGATTGTGGAGAATCTATGGACGACGCTCTTCTCGGCGGCAACGTTACACCACCGGGACTCACGTTCAATACACTCTTATAACGAACCACCTCTTGTCTCGCGTCAGTATTAACTATTGCTTTAGTACTGGCGGCAATTATTTCTTTTTTGCGTTTCTTTTTTCGCTCCTTCTTCGTCTCATATGGTCGATCGTCGATCATCAGCTCGTGATACGTACCACTAATATGAGACGCGATCTCGCTGGGTCGCCGCTTCTTCGTTTTCTTCGCTGCGGCGTGAGAACTAAAGTTCTCTGCGCTCTTTCGACGCACGGTGTCCTTCTTCGTGTCCGACTCGAGTTTTTCTTCCTCAAAATCTTCCTTACGACGACAGTAAGATAGAATCAAGATAATGACGATAACTTCCAGACAAATCAACAAGGCGTGCTGGACAATCGCTGATATTCGACTGCGCCAACTGTCCCGATCGTAAAGAAGAGTTTCGACTGATTTGGAAAGTATAACGATCTCCTCCCTCAGAGCGGCGATCTCTTCTGTTCTTTTCGCATCGCGCTCCTCGCCCTTTCGCGATTCCTCGCCCATAGCAGCCATCGCACGCTCCAATGAACGCTGCATTTCTTCGACTTGCTTTTTGTAGCGACGACTTAACTCTTCCAAATATTGTCCGCTGAGTGACATGTTTCTTTCTAAAATCTGAAAAAGTAATATTAATTACATTAATGACACCGATACTGTTTAATTAATACGTGACCTACATGGCCTGATAATAAATAAATAATTTACATACATATGTATGTTCAAATACTTCATAAAGTATTTGTTGAAAAATCTCAATGAAAACTGTTCTTTCTTACCTTAATCCTGTTGGATAATCGGAGAAAAACAGACTCTTTCTGAGGAACGACATTTGCTGTAGGCTGAGTCGTCGGCGAGGAGCTAGACGCTCCGTTCTGCATGTTAGCCGTGTCGACTTCCAAATCTTTCAAGTCGGACAGTAATGAATCCAACGAGAGATGATCTTGAGACGACAATCGAGCTTCTTGCTCGCCCAGATCTTTCACTTGTCTTCCGTCTTGTTCGCCATTTTCCGACTTGTCCGTTTTGATTTGCACAATAGTCTCGGCACTTTCTGTATCAGGCACAAGGCTCTCGCTAGCCTCTTGGCTGCCGACGTTTATTGATGTAACACTGCTCGTGGATAATGTCGTCTCGGTAGGAGTCCCTAAAACCGGCAACTCTTCAGGGATTTTCGACGTTGGTGTCGGATTGGCGGTTGGCGGTGGAACGGTCGTCAACACTTGCGATTGCAACGTCTCCTCCGTGAATTCCTTGCTGGGTTCTAAAATTGGCATGGACGACTCCTTCTTTATATCCTCTTTGCTGAGTGTCTTCGTAGGTTTGATTTGCGACGCCAAACTCTCTGTAAAGCTAGCAGAGGTCTGTATGGTCGCGATGCTGATGTTCTCACTCTCTTTGTTGACATCCTGAGTCAACGGTTGCTGCCGCACCTCCTTGGGGGACGCGGTAGACTTGCAAGCGGAAGGACTCGAGTCCAAAGTACATGGATCTGGAGTGGAGGATGTTTGACGATGAAAAGTGATCTCGACGTTGTGATCTTTAGTGGATAGAATATCTTCACTGGCAGTATCCTTAGATTTATTTACGGGAATTTCGTAGCTCGTGTTCATTACCACCTTGCGTTCCTTCGTTGCCAGAACATTGCACAACGCTACGATATATTCGGGTTTGAAGAAGGACGTTAAAAAAGTCGCCTGAAGATCCTCTGCCAAATTGAAGTGCGTCATGTCATCGTGCTTCGGTTTGTCCTCCTCTCTTGCCCACCAAAACGACTCGATCTCCACGCCATGAAGACCGCACAGCCTTCCTCGTCTCAAAGTTCTGTTCACCAGGTCAATCCTAAGCAAATCGTCCAACTGTCGGTTCTTACAGCTGACCAACTGGAAAACACTGGCAAATTTCTGGTCGGTGCAGTTGCCGCAGAGGATCGTGTACCTTGGTGTCGTGCAGCTCGTGTACGAATTGTCCAATATGTTACCGTGATCGATGCTTTGCTGGATCTGCGTGATGTTGTTCCCGGTGAGACCGCTGGACTTGACCAGAATCTCCGCAGCTTTCTTCACTACGCTTAGCACGGCATCGCGTGCACTACCAAAGAGATTACTCGGTGAATCACCGCCCTCGCTATCTAACAGCTCCTCCTCGTCGCTATCCTCATCGTCGTCTTCGTCCGTATTCTTCTCTTCTAAGGTCTCATTTTCCGTCTCGGTTTCCAGCACTTCGAACTCGCTGGTGCCATAAGCGCGAAACAACGAGACAGGACAAAAGTGTTCCGAACCATAGTGCGATTGGAGCTCGACCTTGATAAATTTGCCGAAGAAATGAGGATGTAGAGCAAAGCTCTGAACGTCTTTCACGTCCTTGGCGGTGAACTGGCCAACTGGGCTCCAATCCTTGGTGGGAAAGCGATCGCTCACATAGACGGAAAAGTCTTTCGGTGACGAGCTGAAGAGCTCGAAGTTCGCCAGCTCGATCTTCTTGGCTTGTATCGCTTCACACAGCTCGACGACAAACCAGATGCGCGACGTGCAGGCGTTCAGCATATATTCGTCCCGCGTGGACACCAAGACGTTCTTGGCGCTATTCGCCTCGGGGTTAGCTGCCACAATCTTGGCGCCACAGTCCGGAGAAGCGTAATTTTTGTTACGAATTTTCATGCCGCTTACGCCTCGTCCTGGGCCACCAGGGGTTTGCACGGAAGCGTTCGGATGAGCTGCAAAATAAAGCAAGAAAATAGCGCGTTAATAAGATTTCCTAAATAATAGCAACGAATTTAGTATGATTCTACTATTTATCTTCGTTACGAGTATCATTGATCAATAGAATTAGTAAATAACCCTTACTTTTTTTCTTTTCAGCCTCCTCCAAACGCTTCTGCGCCCATTCGCTGAAGGACGGTATGTCCTCGTGCGGCTCGGTAGGGCCTGAAGCGACGAGTCCATTCAGGATCACCGCTGCCGTCTCGTCCCTGCTATTGCCAACTAATTGTTCTCTAGCCGCCGTATCGTTCAATTCTGGTGCCGTGGTGAACGCGTCATCGATCTTTGCCGACAATTCCTCGGACACTTGAGCCTGACCAGCCCCCTCTTCCTCGACTCTGAGCACCAATTCGTCCGTGTTGATTTTCTGCTCCGCTCTGACGACCACTACAACCTCCGGCGGCTCCTCGGCAGTAATCTTCTTCAGCAGAAGCAGCTCTTCGTCGTCCCCGAGGACATCGGTGTCGTTCGGTCGCTCCGTCGCCTCGTCGACGATCGGCGGCGGCGGGATCTGCGTCGTCGGCACGGTCTCCTTCAAGTGCTCGGACGGCCTGGCCTGATTGCCGCCTAGCAACGAGGAATTCTTGATGGACGATCGCGAAGGGAACTCGCGATCGATCTTTGGCTCAGCCAAATTCTGTAATCCAGCCGCTGCGGTGTCCACCAGAGTCAACACCACCGCCTGGCCGGTCTCGGAGATCCTGCGAACAGACAAGCGTACACATAACATTACGGTACAATTAATAACTCATAATGACCTTTATTCTTCCATTTACCATGGAATCTTTCAGAATGGATTATTCTTTATTTTTTAGCAGATGTCTACGCCACAGGTAATTTCAAAGACATATGTTTACTTTAAAGTTAAAATGCCAATGTTAACGTCAATCTATCACACAGTATCCGTTGTTGAAGAATATAATCACGTGGCGATAATATGGTAAATCATGTCAAGGGAAATGACGATACAGTATTATAATGCGTACAATAGCGAATAACAGACGTGGCACTTTAGAATATTAAAACGGAGCAAACCGAGTCACTTTCAGATGCATAGAATTTTTCATCGCGATCATGTATATTGAAAATATAACGCATAGTGATGAGAATTGAATAAACATTGGAACAATATAACTATATAGAACGTAGCTGATGTATCGGAACGTACCGTGCATAACCCGTAAATGTAAAAAAAACCGTGCAACCGCAGTAATCAATTTTATATACTAACAAGAACAATTTTTAGGATGTAACGTACACATACATCTTTTATACAACCACGTTTGGTAAATCTTTAGAAGGGACCTCACTCCGAAATACATAAAACAATGCGAGTTTCAAAAAATTAATAAAATGGTCCCTGCACTACAAAGAGACTTGTCATAGATTTAAATCATTGTACACCATAATTTTTCTACCAGGCTTGCAGAACTGAAAAATATTTCAATTTTGCTTCTAATAACTATTTTTATAATCCACAAACATCGCCGTTTCCCAATCAATTCGAGTACGAGCGGCCTTCTAGGTGTACAAGAATTTATCCTCGTTTGCGAAGCGAGTAACGCGAAGAGACATATGTGTCGGCGTCGTAAAAGGTGCTCGTTTCGGCTTCTCGTTAACGTCCTTGGTAAGGTTTTCTCACCGATGATAGATGCATACGGGAATGCACCACAAGACCGCCAATACCGCCAGGTAGAAGGCCGCTACCTGAAGAAGATGTCTGTGTTGCCCGGCAGGATTAACAGTCCAAGGACATCCGCCGTTCTTGACGGTGTTGCTTTTGACCATAATTTCAAGCTGAGGCGCGCGCGCGCGCACACACTTTATCAATCACTATTTCACCGTTGCTTCGGTCTGTCTAGTCGTCGTGACTCCTTTACCATATTTCATACTCTGGCATGAGAGTGTAACGCAAATGGCACAGTTCCTCGCGATTATTTTTATGATGGTTTTATGATAAAGACATACCACACGTGTCGACTGTTATATCACACATTTGTTGTTTATTGTTCTCTATCGAGGGTCGAAACGATCGAGATATCTGGGTTATATCTTTTAGAATACCAGAATAAACTTTAGAATCGTAACGAATACCACTATTTGTCGTTCCTTACTTATCGGCATGCAATTCCTTATCGTGGGACATGTTTTCTACACATCAAGTGTCGAAATCCTAAGAACACAATAAAATTAAACCGTACAATTGTACAAATGCAACTACTCCTCCCTATAGGTCAAGCAAAGAGATTTTACTCCATAATTCAAATATTAGGTGTACAAATGAATAATCCAAAATTTTCAGCTGTATTTAAGATTTATTTTAAAAGAAGGTAAAACAAATTTGTCAATCAAAGTATTCGCCGTTGCTTTCTATAACTTTAAGCCATCTGTCAGGTAATTGATGAATTCCATCTCGGAAAAATGCTGTGTCTTTGGATACGATGAAGTCGTCGAGCCATATTTTCGGATCTCATCCACTGATTTGAAATGCGTATCGGACAAGGCATGTTGCATCGATCGGACCCCTGTGAAGTTAGCCCCCCATTATTTAAAAATTTAACTTTTTTTACGAGTTCCCTATAGATTTACAATAGTTCCAGAGTTCTTGATGGGTTTAAGAAATAGTTCTGCCCATTAAAGAAGTTAAAATTATTTTTTTTAAATGGGGGCTAACTTCACGCAGCCCCCCCCCCCCATTTTTGTAAAAACTAATCTTTTAATGGAGTTCTGGATAGATTTCGCATAGTTCTAGAGTTCTTGATACATGTTAACAACAGTTCTGCACGAGAAAGTATAAAAAAAACGAAGTTGAAGAATCAAGAAACAGTACCCCAGAAATAGGCATAACTATAAAAGTATTAATGTAATGGAATTTTGCAATTAGGATTTTCGATAGAACTCTGCGGGGGCTACCGGGAACTCTCAACAGAACTGCCGGAACTGTGCGATTTTAGGTGTCAGTTTCTGTCTTATAGGACTCGAAAAATTTTTTATTTAAACCTAAGAAATTCTTGACATCTTTGTGAATCGCGATAATTTCGGAGTAAATAGTGATACGAACAAAGCTAATCAATCATCTGCGAGCTCCTAGTAACAGCAGTGATATGCGGCGGAAGTGATGCAGAAATGATAGTACGACCGAGTAATTAGATGAAACGTGGTGGCACTGGATTGGCACTTTCCATCAAGAGTATTGCTTTATACGTTAACGTGCCATTTATCCCAGGGTTCAATTAAGAGGCACGCGGCGTTTATTATTGATGCCCGCATATGCTTAGAATGTGCTATTAGTGCTGCTATGCATATTCAATATCCGAAATTGATTCGAGATCTCTCTCTCTGTCTCTGTCTCTCTCTGTCTGTCTATCTGTCTGTCTGCTATGCCACGTCAGAATTTGATCGCTATTATTGCCGAGTACAGTGATTCCAAGTCTTTGTCCTTATTTACTAATGTAATCTTTGGAAAATTACCTTTCAGAATATAACGTTAGTTCCATCCCAGGATTCATTTATATTGGACGTTGAAAGATTTATCGCTCGCGAAGCGGAGTTCGCAAATAAGTTTTCCCTTCATATCGCAAAGTATAAATCTTCTTATGAGGTATTAACGCTTTGACCGTAAATACCGCAATGTATTTCCAATGTCACACTTGAAAGTCGAACTTGACGCGTAAAACGGCGACAAGTGTTAACGAGTTGCTACTAGCGGCACAGCTAATGGTACTCGTATAACTACATAATTAGAAAGTACCGACGCACTCGATCGTCGTGTGCCGGAGAATCTAGTACAAATTAGGTCTGACCGGTTATAATTAAAGACAACTGTTGTCGGACTCATAAAATCAATATACATATTTACAAACAAATTAATCTATACCTATCTCTATAATTAGAAAATTAATTTTATATTCATATCTTGTTCTGGCCGACTGATTTAAACTCATAGATACGCTATTCGTTCGTTTCTTCAGTTTTTCTTCATTTACCTGAAAAACGCGAAATCGTTCTACTAAAGACAAACTATCGAAATAATTTCGCTAGCCACTTTGTATCGGTATCGTGTATCTCTAAAATTAGAAAATTAATTTTATATTTATATCTTCGCGATCGAAACGTCGTTGTGACCAATATAATAAATGCCAGATAAGTCACTACATTAAGTTTATTTGATTTTCAATACACTGGCAAAGAAAATTCCAATTTTATTTATATCTTGTTCTAGCCAACCGATATAAACTCAGACACATTATTCGTTCATTTCTTCAGTTTTTCTTTATTCACCTGAAAAACGCGAAATCGCTCTACTAAAGGTAAACTATCGAAATAATTTCGCTAGCAACTTTATATCGGTGTCGTGTAGACGTTTGTATTTTTATAAAACCGCAATGCTAAAAATTCCTAAAAACACCGGGTATCAAATATTGATTCATTTTGCTAAATTTCTCATAGTATCAGTATTATACATTGAAAAAAAAGGCTTAGTTATAATAATCCAAGCTTGGTTAAAGTTACACTGAGAAAAAGTCTTTGAAAATTTATTTGTATATAATTTGCATATAATATTTATTTCACTGAAATAAACCACAATAATGTCACAAATGTCACAAATAAATTTTCAAAGACTTTTTTCTCAGTGCACCTAGATCTATGGTGAAATAGTTTCATCTAAACGCATAAGTTGCTATGACGATACAAATTGGTTAAAGTTAAAAGATTTCAGAATTTAGTGGGCTCAACTAAATGCAAAATTTACTCTTTTAAAATGTTTATAATTATTACCAAAAACGCGTTTTGCTATTATTATCAAATTCAGTAATAATAACCAATTTTCAAAAAATGTATTACTATATGCATCTCACAAGTTTACCTAGAATTTTTTTCAGTGTCTCGGTCACAATCACAGTGAAAGATTGAAAAGTAAAAATTCGGAACATTTAAGCTCATATATTGCTCGAACAACATAAATTTGCAGAGCGTGTCACACTTATGCCCCATGCGATGGCAGAATCGACTTCCGCTCGTTGCTTGCGTCAAAAAAGATGATTACATGTCGATTACGACAATTGGCTTCGAACGACCGGCTTATCGCATGTGCATTTAATCGGAACGAATGGCGCATTGTGAACAGATCCTTAAACGAAGACGATGTCACCGCGAGTGGTAAAAGCTCCGTCAAGATCGTTTCACGGTCTGGCGAACATCGATCAATGAACGAGGTTTGCGCGAGGACGATTGCCGTTGAGAAACCGCAATCCTGCCGACTGCTGTCCGTGCAAGGCTGCAGTTTGCAAACACCGATCTCGAATGCAATCGAGAGAATCCGGCTAAACTAATATGACGGCAATCGGTTTCGGTGAAATAGTCACCGAATCCCCGAAAGCGGACCCAAAGTCGATCAAGAACAACGGTTGGCTGACTAGCGGTAAAAGATGAAAGTAAGTATACAAGGTGTTCCAGGAGGAAAGGTCAATATTCTAGGAGGTGATAGTATTGGTCATTTTAAGCAAAAATGTTCGTATTAACCTTTCCTCCTGCAACACCCTGTATACACACTGAAAAAAACTTTGCTACCGTAGCTAATCATGGTTTGTTAACAATATTTGGCTGTCATTACTACACTGAAAAAAATTTCTGGTTGAATATGGACGAATCAGATAATTCCTTTAGGATTTACCAGAATTCCTTTAGGATTTACCAGAATTTCTGTAGGATTACATGATTCGTCCATATTCAACCAGAAATTTTGTTCAGTGTATAAACTTCTAAACCACAGCACATGGTTTGCTGTCGCACCTAATACAATAGACACATATTTAGCTATCACAAATAAATATTAGCAACTGCAGCTAATCACGGTTTGCTAAAAATATTTTGCTGTCGTTACTAAATTTCTAAACCACAGCAAATGGCCTGCTGTCGCACCCAATACAATAGGCACAGTAGCAAAATATTTATCTATCACAACTAAATATTAACTGTCCATATTTTACAACTGAAATTTAGTTTCTAGCTACGACAGCTACATTTTTTTTTCCGTGCAGGAAAAATTCGAAACACAAAAATATATATCGCTGACCCAGTCTCGACACATCGAGACTACTATTTCTTCCCAAGAACAAAAATAGTCGCTCGTTCGACGAAAAATAATAAATTATTTATCGATTATTCGCCGGGCCGATGTTGCAAGAAACTACATCATAGATAGAGTTTTACGTCAATATTAATGCGATAAAAGAAATAATTATGCCTTTCTCAATCTGGGCACGACGAATAGTCCAGCAACGAACAACATGTCACTGTCAACGCCCATAACGTAGTTTTTTCCGCATCGATGCACGCGATACCTACATTCGTGGCTGCTGGCATTCACAGGTTTCATTCATAGACTACAATCATTTAACGTAGGTAGGCGAAATGCGTTGACGACGCATTTCCCGTTTCTTCAATGGGCTATTAATAACACGACGTGATTTAGAAGTCATTCACTGCACGTATTGTTACGCAATAACTTGATTACGCGTTCACATGATATGCCACTGTTATAATGCAAAATATACCGATGGAGGTATTAAAATGAGCTGAAAGTGCTTGACACGCACGGAAAATTGAAAATAGAAATTCCATTAACGCATAAACATTATAATTGGACCGTTAATCCAGTTGATTCAATCCTAAACGATGACGCGGAAAAAAATAGAGAATATAGGAGAAATTAAGATAGAAAATGAATTGTAATATTTAATGTCATTCTTACAAATATGCAATGCTCGATTCTCGTACGGTAATAAATGCAATGAGAAAAGCATGCTATTGATATTTTATATCATTCGCGGGAAGAGAATCGAAACAGGAAATTTACGCGCACGGCAAACCGATAAATAGCAGCCAACGGTGAGAACGCGATAATTAACCAGAGAAATTTATTCGTTAGAAAACGAAGGCGGTACGTATAAATCTGGATTCCTATAAACCTGTCAATCGCACAACTAGAACGACTCTTGAAGTAAAATCTCGGTCAGTTTTTCCTTTTCAGATGTCTCTTGCTCGTTATAAACAAGTTATCATTAAGTATGTTATTATTGTGAATATACACACGTTACCTTCAGAATTACACCATCAATTATGCGAGGGAAACGTCAGTGCGACAGTCAATTATAGAGAGCATTAATAGCT